TGAGAGATACTGCATTGGAGGGGTTAGATGCAGAGCCTCATGCTAGCATTATTACATTGGAAGAACTAACCAGAAATTTCTACAATAAATTATTCCCACTGGCCAGAGTAACTAAAATTATATTGAAAATTCAAACTTTTCAACAGAAAGATGGAGAAAATCATCACGAGGCATGTACTAGATTTAATGAGCTGATGAGAAAATGCCCAAACCATGGAATCACTCTAGGAAACCAAGGGCAGTACTTCTACATCGGGCATGCACCACTGTCAAAATCTCAAGTGGATGCCTCTGCTGGTGGATCAATCATAGGGAAATCAGTGCAACAAACCATGGATTTATTTGAGTTAATTGCCACCACAAATTCAATGTTCTTATCAAAAAGAGTGGTATCAACAAAGGTAGTATGAATGTATGAATTAGACAGCACAACATCTACCAATGCACAGATAGCAGCTTTAACAAAACAGGTAGAGTTACTTGTAAAATTGTAAACACATGGAGGAAATGCAATGATAGCCAGTTTAGCATGTGAAAATTCTAGGAGAAATCACATTACAGAGAGTTGCATGATGCTCACTTCTTCAGAGGAACAAGTAAACTTTATTCAAAATAGCTCCTGTAATTTCAACTCATATGGGAACAATTTCCAGCAAAAAAGAAGATCAAGTTTGGGGGAGATGTTTCAACAATATATGCAGAAGACGGACAAGGTGTTCCAGCAAATTGACACGAACTTTCAAAATCGGTAGGCATCCATCAAGAAACAGGAGACACAAATTAGTCAGATAGCACAACAACTTGTAAAACGTCCACAATGGACATTGTCAGGCAATACAATGATAAATCCTAAGGAACAGGTGATAACAATTAGAGTAGTGGAGAACGATCTACCTAGAGCCCTCATGAAAGTTAAAGCACATGTACCTCCACTTCCGTTTCTCCAAAGACTTCGAAGAAGTAAATGGAACAAAATATTCATGTCATAAATACAAAGAGCAAGGTACAATCGTCAGAGATCACTATAGAGAGACCTAAAAGAAAAGATGGCCAGGAAGTGATTGATGAAACTACAAGGGTAGAAAAATTTGCACCAAATGCAACTGAAAATAGAGAAAGTACAGAAACATTAGCTGCCAAAGCACCAAGTCTAGATAAAGTTTACATGCCTCCCACTCCCTCTCCTCAAAAGTTCAAGAAGAACAAACAAGACACAAATTATGAAAAATTCCTCGATGTTCTCAAGAAGCTCCAGATCAATGTTCTGTTCATTGATACAATACTACAAATTCCAAGTTACGCGAAATTTTTGAAAGAGATGTTGACAAAGAAAATGAAGCGTCCAGAGTTTGAAACTGTGGCATTAACTGAGGAAAGTAGTGCAAGAGTCCAGAGCAAATTGCCTCCTAAATTGAAGGATCCAGAGAGTTTTACTTTAACAATTTCAACTGGAAATTTCTGTTCAATTAATGCATTGTGTGACATTGGTGCTAGTATCAATCTAATGTCGTATTCTGTTTACATCGAATTGGGACTAGGTAAAATCAACTCAACATCAATAATGCTACAACTAGCTGATAGAACAATCGCTAGGCCACGTGGCAAAGTTGAGGATGTACTCGTAAAAGTAGGAAATTTCATATTTTCTGTGGATTTTATTGTATTGGACATACCAGAAGATTGAGACATTCCAGTTATATTGGGTCGACCATTCTTAGCAACAGGATGAACCCTTATTGACATGGAGAATGGAGAACTAATCTTGATGGTGGAGGACAAGCAGGAGATATTCAATATTTACATCCAATGTGAGAAACCTCCCAATAAAAATGATTGTTGTATAATTGATGAAGAAGAGCCACCTGATCAACGAAGCTGTCAGAACAAAAAACCAAATTTTAGAGAACTAAAGATAAGAATGGACAAATCAAAATATGGAGATCAAAAAAGGACTGCATCAATGAAAATTGCACAAAGTGCAATGATGGAATAACTTGGTTTGAGTCACCATGATAAATCAGCGGCACAAGTTAAGTTAATGATTTAAAAGAAGCGCTTTTTGGGAGGCAACTCAAGCTTTTATTTTATTTTATTTATTTTGTTTTCAAAGTTATATGATAGTTTAATTTATAGCTTATTTAGGAATCACCACCCGTACCCCTTCTACCCATAGGTTTTGGAGTAATTAAGTTGGTTATTAGATATTTGAGCTAAGTAACTCTTGTTCCATGAGTTTAATTTTTCAAATTTAATTTTTCAGGAACATGACGTCACGAAACACTCAAATCAACATGGACATGGAAAAAATGAGACAAATCTCAAGTTTGGGGGAGAATGTGGAAGAATAGTCGATCAAATGCAATACCAAGACACCACAACATCATAGGCAATACTGACATTTCAGAGAAGTCCTTCTCCTTTTCCTTTAAATTTAACATTGAGGACAATGTTTAGTTTAAGTTTAGGGAGTGTATTACTATTAATTGCCTACTTGAAATTTTTTCGAGTTGGACATTTTGGCTTACAATTACGTTTTACTTTGAGATTTGGTGTTGATTTATGAATTGTGGATATGATGCATGCTAGATTGATTGAAATTAACCTTGCAAAACTCGATATTATACGTGCACCAGAATTGAGTCTGACACTGTGATGAAATGAGTTGATTCATTTGTTAGATAGGTTGATTTAATTGGACATAGATGCTTTACCTAAACCATAGTAAGTTATTTATCCTTAGACCAAAATTAGCATAGTTTGGGGATGACTTTACAGTTGTAGAAAGATGCGGATGTGAATTTGGATTCCATATGTAAAAACTTATGTATGGATTGTCTTAGACTAACATGATAAAACTAGGTGAGAGTCTTAAGTTGG